AAAAAGTACAATTTAGATTTTAACTTGAATAGTAACTAGAACAGTAATTTTCGATTTTCCAAATTCATTTTTAATGTAAAATAAAAAATATTTTATCCATACAGATCCACGTAAGTAAATGATCACAGGACTGTTAAGTATGATTAATTCGCCATCTTGTCGAATTCGTTAACATTTGATATTATGGATTGCAAATGGATTTATTCGCCAATTTTTTGAACACAATAAAATTCGTTCTGCTTTTGAAAAATTCGCATACTTTTCACAACTTATTTTTATTCGCCAGATTTTTTGTGAATTTGCCATATCAAATAACCATTAAAAATTTTTATGAATCATAAGGGCGCTTGTCTGACCTTCTAAAATGGGCTGTAATTATCTACATCATATGCTTGTATGCAAAATCTTCTTTTACTCATAAAAATTTAGGAGAACACATGAAATTTTTCATACTTTTATTACCATATACGGAAAAATTAAAGATCAACTATAAATCACATCTTTTCTTTTTAATACTTGCCTTCATTTTATCTAGTGACTTTTAATTAAATTTTTATTACAAGATTTAAGAAGTAGAGAACATACTTTCATTTTCATTATAGTGTCAATAGACCGGCACCGTATTTTATTCAGAGTGGAATATCTATATTAAATTATGACAACTCGATTTTTTATGATTTTCGGTTTTGAATACAATTAACTTAAAATATTATTTTAAAGTGCATACTGCTAAAATTTTAATATAATCGAATAAAAGAAAATTCTAAAAGTGAGATCGAAAAGTACTTTTCAGAATAATCAAAGTAAATAATTTATTTATTGGCGTAAATAATTAATTGGCGTATTATTTATTAAAATTTTTACAAAAGCGAAAGTACTTTTGTGAAAAATAAATAGGGAAAAACCAATTTCGAAACTGGAAACTAATATCATTGATTTTGGAATATATTCATAACCGATTGCAGCAGTAAAAATTATTTTTTTTATTTGTGGCTTACGCCACTCTGTTTCTGAGACACTCATTACATGTTCAACGAAATTATCATCAATATTTCACGTTAGTGAAATTATGAATTGCTCTAAAAGAGAAATTTCTGAAAATATGTAGAAATAATACATATACATACTTAGATTTAGAATTAATAGATATTCAGAAATCTCGTAAATCAAATTTTAAACTAATTATAATAAAATTAGTAAACCGTTATAAAAATTTTGCTCTTAAACAACTAAGGTACTTTTGACTTCTTTAAAAAAGAATTCAAGATCAACGTAACCGTATAAAGAATAAAAGAAATTTCAAATAGTTTTAACAAAAATTCCACTTTTTCGAGTTGTTATGATTTAACATTGACAAGTCAATGAATTTTTTTATTAAAACTCAAACATTTTTGGATTATTTGCCAAGAATTTTTAAAAACAATTTAACGTTAGATAGTTTATACATGCTATGTTAAAAAAAAAAATTTGATTTTTCCGGAATTGAAAGACAAAAATAAAAAAAAACAAAATAAATTATAAAAGTAAATTAAATTTCTAGAAAAGCTAGAAGAACTTCTTAAAATATGCTATTATTTAAGTGTATTGTTAGTCAGAACAAGTGAGAAATCTTTTCACAAATCTATGTGATTCTTCTAAAACTCTTAAAATCTTGGAATTATTTAAATTTTAAATATAGGTAAACTGCATCTGTTACATTACAGATTTTTCTGTTAAAATCTCAAAGATAATTTAATTTTTACAATATGCTTTATTTAAACAACTTTATTTTACTTCATTTTATATCTTTAATTTTACTTAGTCTTTATGCTAATTTAATATATCGTTTAATATAAACTGAATTTGCAGTTTGTTGTTGCTTTGCAAATTTCTATTACTTTATTAGAATCGTGTGTACTGACAATTTTATGGGAACTATCAAATTTTTTTGAATTTAAATTTTTTAATTATCTTAATTAGTTACTACACAAACATTCCTAGGTATGATATCAAGATAAATATGTAGATTCTATTTTCAAAAACTCATCATTGGACATAACAATGCACATCTGTTCTTAATTGAATTTCCTATCGATTCTTTCATTATTTATTCTTAAAATTCATTATTTTTATGTAAATCAAAAATCAAAACACATTGTTTTCTTATTAAATATTTTATATGGTCTGAGTCTAAGATCTTGAAGTATTTATGATAGACACCGAACAAAAAAATAAAAAAATAAAAGGGCTCTTATAAAATTTTACTGTTTAAGTTCGTGAAAATTTTTTTAAAGGGGAAAAAACGTAAATACGAAATGGTGAAAAGGATGGATTTTTCATAATAATATATGTATGTATATTATGTATATGCTTAAGCATAAAAATTTATTAAAAACGAAAAAAAAAAAAATTGAAAATGAAAACAATGAAAAACCAAGTTTTTTTTTTCTTTCATCTGTTAATGACCAGATGGTGTATTAATGGTATATGAATTGTTATAAATTTTTTACGTTCATTGAATTGCAATACCATTATGTCACATCTGGGTGTTCAAAAATGGGGAGTTTTCTATTATTCTAATATCACGTGTTTCAATAATTCTTTTTTGTACATTTGTATATGGAAAGTATTCACAAAATTTTTAAAAATACATAAATTTATTTTTGTTACTATTTTTAGGTACAATTTTACACGCAGTTTTATTCATAAATGAAAATATGAATACATATATACATAAGTATACTTGTATGTTTTTATATTGTTAACATGATAGTAGCTATATGTAGATAGTAGTAGTTTTTCGCTACACAAAATGCTTTATTTCCAATTGACATTCATAACATGAGGATTTTATAATCAAAGGAAATACAAAATTTTGGTTTTCTTTGTAATCTCCAATATGTATGCAAGTATGCAGTATTATTGTATACTTGTAGTATAAATATTTAAAGTTTTTACGCAGAAAATTTCATAAATGATGTCGCGACAGTCGTGTGAGAGTTTTAATATTTAATTATATAAACTCTTATTCACATTTTGGTTAAAAAATATTTGAACTCAATATAAAGATGATAGAAACTTATTATAAATACAATCGGCATCTACTTAAATTTAATGAATTTAAATATTTTTTAAATTGCATGCAAATAGGTAATACTGTATAAATAAAGAATACTTTGCCAATTTCTTTCTTTTCCAATCTGTAAATTGCTGGTAAATGTTACATATTTTGTTAAATTTGAGTTCTATATTGTCTTCGTTCCTGCACAGCTCGTTCAAAATCGAAAACAAACAAAATACTCAATATAATACTCAAAATACTGAAACACGTTTAGTCAAAATAAAGCACAAATACAAATATAGTAACCTTAATTTTCCTAGTTTCAATGTTTTGCTCCTTCTTATTTTGTATCAGATTTCATTAGGACTAGGTTTTGGTACATAAATTACCGAAACATATATACGCAATACGTTCCTACATGTACAATTACGTAAATGTACATATGCATATTATCCCAAGTGGGAGAATTTTTTATAGCACCAGATTGGCGCCATCGAACATCTCGCACATAGAAAAATTTACAAATGCTCAATAAGCGCATAACAAATAAAAACATAAAAGTTGAAAGCATCATAGAAAAATATATTTTTATTTTCCATCTGGGTGCTTCCACAGTAGATAGTACAATATTACACCAAAAATTCGTTGATGGCGTTATATTGTAGAGGATACCATCTATACCAGAGGTGAGGAACCCTTTTACCCATTAAAGCCAAATTTAAAATAACAATAACCAAGCAGGCCGCATAAGCTTCAATATCTATAAATCTAGGTTTTGTACAGTTATTGTTGCGCAGCTTTCATTTTATTTTAAATTCAGTTTTTATTTATTCCAAACTCAATTTTTTTTATTTTCAAGTCAATATTTTTTTGTACATACATGCACAAATACATACAAAAATTAATAAAATTTAATTAATAAAACAAAAAATCTATTCAATGTAAGGTAAATAATTAAACAAATAACCGGAAAAATAACTTCAAATTCATTGTTTAATAAATGTAATTGAAGTTAGACTATATTAAGTGAGATATTTGCATTTGTTTTTTACTTGAAAATAATTGAATATTTAAAGCCATACAAATACAAAGCAGCGGAGATCGCAGGTTCCCCATCACAGATCTATACAGTAGCGATTTCTAACCTGGTAATATTTCTAGTTTTTATTCTACATAAATATTATCGTTTCTTTAGTTTTAGATGAAGCTATCTTTTTAAGGGATTTATATATTTTAAGTTTTAATTAAATTATGAAGTTAAATGAGTTCTTAAGTTGAACAATGTACATCTGTATGTACATACATGTATGTATTTTTCTTTTGTGATATCCAAAATACTTACATAATAATTAAAATACAGTTTAATTATTTCTCTAGCTACTCAAATTACATTCAAATTATTTAAAAGTAAAAATCTAAGAATTTAAAAAAGGAATAGCAATTTAACGAAACGAAATATCTACATATGTACATATACAAATACCTACACAATATTTCTTATGCATTAACTTTTTTAAAATGTAAAAATGAGAAACAAATAGAAACACGAAAACCTTATTTTACTTATTTTTCCTCAATTAAATATTTGTTTGCTTTGTAAAATATATTGCGAGAAGGAATTTTTGATTATTCAAATGGCATATACATTAAGTTCTAACTTAAATCTATAAATTCGTTTTTGCATCATTACAGATTTACAGGAACTAACTAGCATACTTTTTTCTATGTAATCTTTTTCAAACTCAAAACATCTTTGTAGCATTCAAAAAATTTTTTTAAAAATGCTTCAGAACTTTAAGAACGCTATAATTTTCCAACTTGCTTATTTTTTTGCAATAAAGATGTCGATCATGTTACATTTGAAAATATCGTTGAATTGAATTGCAAGACTCATTTTTGTCGGTTAATTGATATCTCTATATGTATATATATATGATGAAAATAAGGAAATTAATTTAAATATATAAATTTCTGTTTTTAATTATTTTATTTTAATACGAACAAAGTATTATCATAAATTCATAACAAATTATAATATGGTATCGTTTTTTACATTTCTTTTTGCTTATAATGTTATTGCCTAAAATAAAAAAAAAAACTAAAATAAACTTAGGAGGGATCGTTGCTTTCATCGAATAAATTTAAAATTCAATTCATTCTATTGAAAAATCACATTCCAATATCCAAATTCTATAAAAATTTTTCATGTAATCAATTTTGATACATTTGTATTAATATCCCCAATATTTATTTTAGTTAAGTGAATAAAAATAATTTTTCGTGTTTGATAAAGTTTTATACAAAACTTCTCGATAAATTTTATATTTTACACGCAAATATTGTCTAATTTGGTATTAAAACATTTATATCTACAATTCAAAGGAAAATAATTGATGTTTTTTCGACAAAAGATATTTTTTTTAAAATTAGAATTTTTAATTTATTTTGCTAATTGCTTCATTCTATTAAGTGCACTGCCAGCTTTAAACCAACCAATTTGTAAGTCGTTTAATGTGTGATTTAACTTAATTGTTTCTTTTGAACCATCAGCGTGTTTCAATTCACAGTCTACTGGTTTTCCTGGTGCCAAAGCCTTTAAGTTTAACAATGAAATTTTATCAGTTGGTTGAATCTAAAACAAAAATAAAAGATTATAGTTAGCAATATAATTCAATATAATTATAATATAGATTATACATATTATAAATTCAATTTATTTCAATATTGCAAAATACTCCATTCAATTTTTTAAAATAATGCAAATGAAAATAAGAAAATATGTAATTATAAAATGAATTTATAAAGACTTTTCAAGTGGTTCAGTTAAATTTATTAGACTTTGGAATAGGCAAGTATGAGTTAATTAATTTTGATTTATTTTAAGTTGCTTTTTAAAAGAGATATAATTTAAAAAAAAAATTCATTTATTAACTGCAAGTAAATTTTAAGTTTTGTCGTTGAAGATTCCTATATAGTTTGAGAACCGGAATCTTTTGCTATTTTTTTTTATATGCTGAAGAATCCATTTAAGATTAAGATTCGGAATATTTTTCTAAACACTTTTTCTATCGTTTAAATAAATGGGTTTTAGATTTCTTTTTGCATCCCGTTTTTACTTACGACTAAAGTAATTTTTTTAATTAAAAAATATTTCTTGAATATAACGAACCTTATCATAATCTGCAGGATTAGCAAAAGTTAAAGGTAACAAGCCTTGTTTTTTGAGGTTAGTTTCATGAATACGAGCAAACGATTTGGTAATAATAGCGCGGCCTCCTAAATGACGTGGTTCCAAAGCGGCATGCTCACGGGATGAGCCTTCACCGTAATTTTCATCACCAACAGCTACCCATTTAATTCCTTTTGCCTTATAATGACGTGCTACTTCCGGTACAGCCCCCCAGGAACCTGTGTCTTGATTTTTAATTTTGTTTAGTTCACCATTTTCAGCATTCGTTGCTGTTATAAACATATTATTTGAAATATTATCTAAATGTCCACGATATTTCAACCATGGTCCAGCTGCAGAAATGTGATCAGTAGTGCATTTTCCTTTTACCTTAATGAGAATGGTCATATCAGTTAAATCTTTACCATCCCAAACATCAAATGGTTCAAGAAGTTGTAAACGTTGACTTTTAGGGTCAACATTTACTTTCAGTTTGCTACCATCCTAAAATATTTTATAAAAACGCATTAAATTTATTTTAAAAATGAAGAAATTGAATTTTACAGATGGTGGAGCTTCATAGGTGTCCATTCCAGGATCAAATCCTTTAGATGGTAGTTCATCACCAAAGGGTGGTGTTAATTTGAATTTTTTGCCATCAGATCCTGTCAATTCATCAGTCAATGGATTGAAGTCAAGACGACCGACAATGGATAAGGCTGTTGTCAATTCGGGGCTTAAATTAGGACATCTATTAGTATTTGTATTATAAATCATTAGGTTTACCTACCTAGTTACGAAACAATGGGTTGCGGGATTTGCATCGTTACGTCCAGTGAAATTTCTGTTGTAAGATGTGACAATGGTATTCTTTTCACCTTTTTTAACGTCCTTTCTGTCCCATTGACCAATGCATGGACCACAGGCATTTGCGAGTACAGTACCTCCGAATTTGGTCAAAATATCGGCATAACCATCACGAGTAATTGTTGCACGAACTTGTTCAGAACCAGGAGTAACATTAAATGGAATTTTTGCTTTAAGTCCATGGCTTAAAGCTTCTTTGGCAATATTAGCGCTGCGGCCCATATCTTCATAAGATGAATTTGTACATGAACCAATTAGACCGACTCTTATATCCATTGGATAACCATTTTTCTTAGCATTTTCACCTAATTTGCTAATAGGATGAGCTAAATCTGGTGTAAATGGACCGTTTACGTGAGGCTCCAATGTATCTAAGTTGATTTCAATTAATTGATCGTATTCGCAACCTTTATCGGCTGTAAATAATTTTTCTTTGAACTTCATAGCTTCAGCGGCTATGTCACCACGTTTAGTTGACTTCAAAAATGATTCCATTCTTGAATTGTAAGGGAAAGTCGATGTCGTAGCACCAATTTCAGCACCCATATTACAAATAGTAGCCATACCGGTGCAAGAGATTGAATCGACACCCTTGCCATGATATTCTATAATAGCTCCAGTACCACCTTTAACTGTTAAGATGTCTGCTACTTTCAAAATGACATCTTTCGGTGAAGTCCAACCACTGATTTTACCAGTCAAATGTACACCGATGACTTTTGGGCATTTTAATTCCCATGGTATATTTGCCATTACATCAACGGCATCAGCACCACCAACACCGATACATAAACAACCTAGACCACCACCATTTGGGGTGTGTGAATCAGTACCAATCATCAATAAGCCTGGGAAAGCATAATTTTCCAAAATAATTTGATGGATGATACCACTTCCAGGTTTCCAGAATCCTAAACCATATTTAGCGCATGCTGATGCTAAGAATTCGTATACTTCAGAATTAATATCTTTAGCACGAGCTAAATCTTTTTCTCCGCCAACTTGAGCTTCAATTAAGTGATCACAGTGAACAGTTGATGGAACAGCAACTCGAGGAAGTCCAGATGAAATAAATTGCAAGAGAGCCATCTGAGCAGTTGCATCTTGCATAGCTACACGATCAGGTCTTAAACGTAAATATGAAGTACCACGAGTGATGTCTTGCTTATCAGGTTCATCCAAATGTGAATACAAGATTTTCTCTGATAAGGTAAGTGGGCGATTTAAACGCTTGCGGACAACTTCTAAGACCTGAGTTAACTTATCATATGGTAACATAGCATCTTTGTCGAATTTTGACATTGCAACTTTGCTAGCGACAGCCATGGAAGCATGGAAATTACGTTGTTGCATGTCCAAAACATATTTGGTTGTGGGCTTATTGACCTAAGAAAAAAATATATTTTATGATGTTGTGTAATTTTTTTTTTTGTAATTCTTATTAAGATTTCCTGCATTTATTTCTTATCAATTAAAAATCTTCTTGACACAATCGCATAATAAAGACCTTATACTATCTAACATATCAATCAGAAAGCTCAATTGAAAGTTAAAAAATTTTCAAATTAAATAATTTTTACTAAGCATTACTTTGAGATTGAGTTTATGTACAATACAATATTAAGCTATTTAGAGTAAAAAAGAATTAAAAACTACGTTTTAAATTTTGTAACACTTAGAACAATCATCGAAGATTTAGACAATGAGAAATTTTTTTTGGATTTATTCATTGTGTACGTTATCATGTTATGTAAATATCTAGTATAAATTTTATTTATAAACTTGAAATTTTTTTGCAACAAAATAAGATATTCATCTGTTGATAAGGTAGATATAGAATTGTATACGTTCTTAGTGTAGGTATATTTTGAAATGATTGCGTAATAATCAATATACGATTTTGCTCTACTTTTACTGCAATTTTTGGAAAAATTTATGTCCATAATTTATATTTTCTTTTTAAAAACAATTTCCATAATTATTTTACCAAAGATTAACTGTTACACCGCTTTAAAATTTCTTAACAAGTTCATTCAGTTTTCAGAATTTTTTTTTCGAGAACGATTAGATAACACTTGAATAGTGGTTGGCTTTGAGGTTAACTTTTTAAAAAAAATATCTAAAAAATAGTAAAAATAACACGTTAGATTCATATTTTATAAAAACATAAGCACAATAATTAAGTTAAATATTATTTTCTTAATTTTCGCTATTTTCTTTTTGGTTTAAACTGTATGTCTAACTAATTTTCCGGATTGAGCAAAAATATTCAATAAACTTACATATCGTAATAATCGAACTGATGCCATTATTAAAACTTAAATTTTTGTTGTTATTGAAGCTATTAATAATAATTATTTTCTTTATTTTAAATTTTTTTTTTAACTTCCCAAAAAAAACCAAATCTTCAAACCTTCTCGGAATGGAAGATTTAATGATCTACGTTATCTCAACGTAACTCCTCTGTCAATGACAGCTTTTGGTGAACTATGACATTTAGAATTAAATTGAGTTGTCGTTTAATTTTATTTAATTTCGGAGTAGAATAAATCATTATTGACACAGAATATTTGATGTAGTATAGGTTGAACAAAGCTTGTAGTCAAGATAAACGAAATTCGGAATACAGAAAAAAAGAAAGCTGCAAACAATGTTTACAACTTGACTGCATATTAAGTATATTCAAATTTTAAATGATTAACTTACTACAATACTTATATATCAAAAGAATAATATGGTTATTGTATGAATATGTACTTTAAATCTTTAAATTCAGTACACAATATTATAGCAAACTCTGGTTTAGTACAAGCATTTTAATATAGCAAAATAAACATCACTTGCTAACAAACATGACCATCGTAACTACAACCAAAAATATTATCATCTACTGATGAAAAGCGAAGGGATTGAGAAAGGGGAAGAAAAAATTAATATTGGTACATAATATTAATTTGATAATAATAAGTAAATTAAAAAATTACTCGGCTTAAACCAAACGTATTTAAAAAATTATTTTACAGTCAGTTATACTAATTATTTTGATTTCAGACATTAAAGTCACAATTACTTAATTTATTCAATACCACTTTTACACTATTTCTTAATATAAGCATCTAGCTTCTCTTTGAAACTCATTGTTTATTCGGCAATTTATTTCTTTATAATGAATTTTTTAATTCCAGGGCTATAACCGCAGATAAGTTTTATAAACGAAATTTACAATATTTAAAATCATTAACTTTTCAGCAATTAACGCTTCATATTTCTATAATATTATATTAATTCCGTAGCAGTATTAAGTCTTCCCAGAGATTTTTGGTATTAAAACAAATTTGTAAAATTAACACAAAACGATTTTTTTTGTAGCCACGGTATGAAAAGAAATAAAAAAACAAATCTCTTGTTTTATATTGTGAATGAGTTTTTGTATATTCTAAAATAAACTAATAAAATTTAACTGAAATAAAAGCGCATATTTAACCAAAAAGTTGTAGGCAAAACGGATTTTATTTTATGAGCACGCATATTTTCTTTTTTATATATGTAACTATGAAAAATCTAAGCAGTCCATTTTAGACACCGTGTGTCTTGATGTGTTCCTAGACATCGAATCGAGCAATATCTTGTACCACAAGCTGTGCAAGTATAATTTGAAAAATCTCCACAAACTGCGCAAAAATGCCGGGGAGGTAAATTTGATGGTGAAGCTTGGGCGCTAAAATAATTGGGAGCTTCTGGTCTGTAAATTTTTTCTTCTTCTAAAAGTTGGATAAAATTTTTCCTATATTTTGCTTTATAGTAATCAGCTCCCTTCCTTTTTGTCTTTTTTGAACGATTATTTTCCAAGTTATCATAAAATTTAGGCAGCTTTTTGGACATTACCAGATCGGCATGTGGATCTTCATGAAAATTATCTTGTTCTAGGGCTTCTAGAGCCTTACGGGCCCTTCGTTGTCGAGCGAATTCATCCAAGACGCGCTTTTTTTCTGCCTCCTTTATACGATGTGATTCTCTAGCCGACATTTTATTTTTATTACTTATAAATTTATCTTACAATTCCTTTTCGTGAAGCGGAAAGCTAATTTTATCCATTAAATCATCAATTTTTCCTTGAAGTGTTTCAACAATATCTGTCGAAATAAAAAGATGTGATTCGTCTAAGTCTTGAATAATAAATTTTCTTCCTAAAGCAAGAGTTTCGTCCAGGTGAATTAAGAATTGTTTCATAGCAGGATCGCTAGGATGTATAATAAACTTAATAGTTAAATACGAATTAACTCACAGTTTATAAGATTTAGTACCATTCAACTATGACTCCTTTCATTACATTTACCATAATTTTTCTAAATAATATTCCACTTGCATTATTTAAATTATGTAAATAAAATAAATGAAAACTGATTTAGTGAATACCAAATATTATGATTTACGAATTTGAAATGTCAGTTTCAGAGTTTGAATTATGTTTTAATGTCAAAACAAACGATTCTCGAAAATCTCAATGTAAATAACAAGATAGACATTTTGTTACATGTATAGTAGATTTCCTACTTTTAATTTTCCCTAAGATCTTAGTTAATCTATATATGCGCCTTTTGACATTTACAAATTATGCACTTCTTTATCTTCTTTATTTTTTTGTTCTTTTCAATAAAAAATGAATGTATTGGATGTTATATTAAATATCGTATGTTTAGTAAATTAAATAACGTTGGCTATAATATACAAATTTGTTTTCTTTTTTCATCATTTATAGTATTTAATAAAAATATTCGCATAATATAATATGAAAAAAAATTTTAAAGAGGAATTTCCGATGTTTGAAAAACATAAAGCAATTGAAATGATAAGAAAATTATCAAACATGCTGTAAGTTTTGTTATGGATACATACAAGCGAGGTCATGTACATTTTTAAGAGCTAAGTAAGACTAAAATGAATTCAGTAATTAAAACTTATATATCACTTGCAGTGCTTAGCGAAATTTTAACTCGCCGCATAATACATTTCAGTCTATAAAATATCATTGACGTTTACATAAAACATCAAAAACAATGAAATTAATTTTATAGTTATAACAAATTTCTAATTAATTTTATAGTTCTTGATTCCATATATATTTAAGCACTTTATTTTTGACGTCCGCATGTCCCAAATCGTGTTCGTTCAATTTTCAGACGGAAGCATTTTATAAATAACGGTAGCACTGGCAACTTTGTTTTAAAAGTTTCAGTTGAATTGAAAACATCTTTTCGCAAGTTTGCAAAAAGTGAAATCGAAAAAAAACAATTTATTTTTGAATAAGTTCTCTATTTATTCATTTATTAAAATAAATTTTTTAAAGAAGTAAGTATAATAATATTGAGGTACAAATGTCGATTTTTAAAAATTGCTATAGATAGAATAGAATCAGACCATTTATAAAAATATATATTTTAAAGAATGCCGAGAAAACAAATTGTTAAAAAAAGAAACAAGATTTGCCGAATAGACAACTTCGATAGCATGCAAGTGGCAGTTGAAATGCTTTTGGATGAACCCGATGATATAGAAGAAGCCTTTCTCATTATTGTTCCGCCTGAGTTGAACGAATTGACAGACTGCGAAGAAATGGATGAGAATGAGGAAGATTTGTTTATATGTAATATACCGAAAGATATTCCAGGCACGATTGATTTAGAGATAAGAAAAAAGAGTGATGAAGATGACGAAATACGTGAAGATAAAGCATCTACAAATGATCCCAGTGCAAGTCAAAACACTTTTGAAAAAGAACAGCTGTGCAATGTTTATTTGTTCACAGGTAGGTGATAATAATTTATTTTTTATTTATTTCCACATTTTTGATTTCCTTGCAGTAGTAAATGGTATCTTTTTTTGTTTTACATTGCTGAAACCTTCTTGAATTTTTTCAATTGAATAAGAAAAGAAGTTCAAATTATTAAAGAAAGAGCCTTTTAGGAAAATTTTAATAAAGAAGCTCTTTTTTTTTATAGAAAATTTAAACAACGTTTTAAGAAAGATTTCGGAAGCAGATTCAGCATTTATGATTTTTAAAATGATGCTAAGTGATGAAATTTTAGAACATATTTGTGAACAAAGCTTGGTTTATGCACGAGTGACAAATAATGACTCAAACTTTAATATTGATAAAGAGGAATTGGAAGTTTTTATAGCAATCCTACTGTTCTCTGGGTATCTTAAATTACCTGGGGAGAAATATTACTGGTCCTTAGAAGAGAGTATGAGAGTTGACTTGGTAAATCAGGCAATGGATAGGGATCGCTTTTTAACAATAAAAAAATATATTCATTTTGCCGATAATAGAGAGGCGCACCAATCAAGTGATCGAATGTTCAAAATAAGACCGCTCATTAATATTATAAAAAAGAATTTTCAACAATTTGGGGTTTTCCATAAAAGTATATCAATTGATGAATCAATGATAGAATATCATGTAAAACCTCTTATTGGAAAAGATCTACAGGTAGAATATCATAGAAAAGAATTTATAAAATACAAACCAGTGCAATTAGGGTATAAAAATTGGATGATGGCAAGCTCAACCGGCTTCTGTTACGACTTCGATATTTATTCTGGAAGAGATGAAGTTTATCCAAGATCAATTCCTCTACCTGTGAAAGTAGAAATTAACTCTTTGATCGAAATTGAGGACCCAAAAGACCATGTCGATTTTCTAGATGACTTTTTCACAACTCATTCTCTTATGGGTATTCTGGGCGATATGAAGAAAAAAGCGACTGATACGGTTTCTGAAAGTTATATAAAGGGAAAATCTAAAAATGCAGAAACAAAAACTAATGTTGAACAATCACATATTTACATAATAGATAATTCGCGTATTTCTGGAGTAGATAACGTCAATCAGAATGTTAATGCTCATAGAATTACAATGAGAGGCAAAAAGTGGTGGTGGGTAATTTTTACTTATTTGATTGATTTGTGTATGGTAAACGCATGGAAATTAAATTTGCTTCGTAATAATAACTCGATCAAGGTACAATATAACTTCAGACTAGCTGTCATAAAAAAGATTTTACTTGAAGCACAAAGTAAAAATACAAAAAGAAAAAGAAAGCCAAGTATTCCAGAATAGAGACCGAGTTCTAAAACCTATCTTAAGAAGTATGCATTTTTGAAATTTGCTTTTTTTTTATATTTTAAGTTTAAAATAAAGTTGTATTCATTACTGAAATTTGATTTTGTTCTTCTTTTAATGTTTTTACTAGGCACCTATCGAAGTTATTTTCATTTCGAAAACAAACATAAATAAACTTATATTTAAAACAATAAATTATTTTTGAAATAAAAAAATCAACCTTCTCGTACAGTATGTACGTTTTTTCTAAGTCGAAAAATGAAAAAGTTCTATTATACCAACGTTTCAGCTTAATTTTGTTATAATAGGTAGATTGTGTAGATGCCCGTTTCAATACGTTTTCAAATTTAAATAAATAGATGTAATTGATTTTTCATTTTGTATTTTTTGATATCTTTATTTAAATTTTAAATTTACAGTATTTTTTATTTTTTTGTTTTTATAAATAAACTACTTTTCAATATAATATACTTTATTTCAGTAAAAAAAGGAGCAATTAAAGTAATCGAAACAATTATTTAGATTTACAAATTATGCAACTTTATTTTTTTAAATATTATTCTTTATTATTAAATAGAATTTACCAAGTATATTTGAAATTATTTTTAAAAAGTCTCTTAATTCTTAATATCTAAATTAATTCTAATCCAATCTAATTTTCTTCTTTTTTTTTTTTGGTTGTTTATATAATTTTCTTCAACATCTAGTTCTATAATATATATATTTTTTTTATTTTTTCATATTCCTCGTAAATACACACACAATTATTTTATTAAATATAAATTTAACATTATTTTGGCTACTTATAATTAAATGTAAAGTATTTTATCTTAATTTGTAAATATAATTTTCTAATCTAATTGAATTTTTATTTAAAAATAAATATTTTCCATAATAAATAAATATATTTGTATTTATTTTTTTCAAATTAAATAAAATTAATAATTTATTCTATATTTTATTTATTACTTTATTTACGAAAGTCTTTATGCTTACCTATTTACATAATTATATAATTTAAATTAAAATATTAAATAAATTTGAATGATTCGTTTACATATTTTTTAAATATTACTTGAATGTACTCATACGTACATTAATTTCGTTAATTTTTTAAACTTGTTTTTTAATTACAGTTTTTTATATTATATATATAACAGTTTCCACAATATTGCCTGCCTGCATTTGAAATCTTATACAATAAGTAATCTAAATTTTATGCATTAATTTTATTAATTTTTATATTGCAGGTTTATGCATTTAAGAACTTCAGTATAAATTCTTTTATACAAACATACCAAATTTTAATATTTCAATAATATTAACTATATATTTACCTTAAAAATATTTTATTAATTCTTATAAATATATTGAATTTAATTTTAATATTATATAATCCGAATTTTGAAATAACAATTTTAAAATATCTTTCAAGAATATTTTTCCTCTATTTTTTAAATAACAAAACACAAAAGATTTAGTTCTATTTATTTATTATACTTGTGTATTATAGTACTTAATGAGAACAATAACTATTTTTTAAATTAAAAATTAGAATGGCAGACAATTTTTTTACCAGGGTTAAATATTAAAATATTATTTATTCCAACAACTTTCAGTAAAATTTATGTGTGATGTGTTATTGTTATAATATCCATACAGTTTAAAAATTATATGATGACATGTGGTAAGAAAATATGAAAACGAAATTATTAAACTATTTGCAAATGTGATTTGATGCTTCTTTCAATAAGAATATTAAAAATAATCCTTGTAATTCAAATTAAAACAGAGAAGTTATATTTGTTGAATTAAAAAATTATTATCGTTTAAGATAATGGAAAATTATGTTTTATTTTTATTGCAATCTTCAATTATGTTAAATCTGAAAAAAATATTATTTACCCAACCTTAATATTACTCTAAAATAGCATTCGATCTTGATCCAAATAAAAATTAAATTTCTAGTTATAATTAATTCTTTTGTATTATTGAGTCAAAATTAAAATGTTTTGAGGTAAGGAGTTTAAAGAAAAGATTTATTTATTATGAATCATTTTTAAAATTCTTAGCTTAAACAAATATTATTGTAAATATTTTTAATATTGATTTAAGTCTGTCTGCCCTTAAAAAAATTTCACAAAACCAAATAAAACTAAATTAACAAAAAAAATGTTTTTTTTCATTAATCTCAAATATAGAAGGTTCTTTTACTTTGTTTTATTACAAAAGAACAAAAATAAAAAAAACTAATCATATTAGACTAGATTTCAGAATATCTTTATATTTTTTTTTAATAATTCTATTTTTTAATATCTTATTAGTTACACATAATAAATATCTTTAATAGGTAGGTACATCAAAACAGTTGTGTGGGATTATTCATTTATTGTGTTTAATTTTTTTTTTTTTATTTTTTTTCATATTATTTTCTAATCGGTATCTTATTTATTCACTTTTAATAAAACGCATCTGTAATCAACAAGACAAAAAAAAAAAAAGGAAAACAGAAAACTTTTTTTAATTTCTTATTTAGCATTCTTAATTGATTAAGCAAAAAGTTCAAGCAAGACGGAAGAAAAGAGGTTAAGGGAAAACCAAAATGAAATCAGAACAAATTTTAAAATAAGAGAAATTTTTTTATTTTATTAGGGAAGGACAAAGTACTTTATTCAAGCTTAAGTAATTTTCATATGAAATTTCTTCAAACATGAGATTAAGTTTTTTTTTAAAGCCCATAAGCACTCATTTGAATGTATCAATGAAATTAAATTGCAAATTCGATTCATTTATGCGTAAAAGTAGAAACATTGTGGTTTATTAATTTTGTTTCATCTAATGATAAAAATTTAATTAAAGTTTGAAGATTTGTAAACATACATAAATTCTATTGTGGAATTTAATTGTGAAAAAAAAATGAAGCCACCATCCAACTAGAAATTAAAATTTTCTGCTCGCGATAATTTTTTTTTTTGCATGTCATTTTAGGGTAACATACACATAAGCTATTCAAGTGCTAATGTTTATGAGTTTTTAATGAGCTTACATATTAGTTTAATAATATTGTTTCATGTGTAAATACGATCTTGAATTTAATTTTTTTAGCCGCAAAAATATTGTTAAACCATTATGGAATTATAACTCACAAATGTGTTTATTAATGCAGTGTTACTGCAATTTTTGATTTTAAAATGCAATTTGAAATTCATTAATCGAAATACGCATATAAGTATAATCGAATTTGAAAAAATTACATTAATTTATTTGTCAAATTATAGTTTTTCATACAGACTATAATATGTAGAGGGACATAAATGTTTTGTTTTTGGCACGTTCAAATATTATGAAAATTTAAATATTTAATTTTTGAAAAAAAAGAAAAATTAAATTTATATATAAAATTAATATGCAAATTTGTTATGTCAATTTTTTTATAATTAAGGTAAAGGTATATTTATTTTGTTTTTATAATTAATTTTAGTAAGGGTACAATTTTTCCCGAATTTAATCGAAAGTTTCTCTTTATTTTTTCCAATGTATTTTTGTTTTTTCTAAATCAATTTTTGTCTTTTATTTTTTACCGAAATTTTAATTTTTTATGGATTTTTTATTTTAATTTTTTTATGGATTTTAATATTTAAGCAATAATTATATTTTATAGTTAATAAAATATAATTAGCGTTCTTTTTTAAGTAATGATATGTTTTTTTTTTAATGCAATCATTTTTCTATTTTAAAAAGTATTTATGTTTTTTTTTTCTTTGAAATTATTTACAATAATAGAAAAATACTTTTATGTTTTTTTTTATATGCTGATTTAAATTTAATATTTTTTGTTTTTTTTTTTGGTTTTATGGCTAAAAAAATCTTTTTTTTTTTGTCAAATTATTTGAATTTTTTGTTTTCATAAAGGTTTAGTTGTTGTTTTTTTTTTTTTAAATATTTTTTTGTCTTTTCTATATAACTACACAGTCACATATATAGAATTTACATAATATTTTTGCTGGGTTTTGTTTACAATTTTTTTTTTTATTTTAATTGGATTTTAATTTTAATTTTTTTTTTAGAATAAAGCTTATTTGAAGTGAAAATAATACAAATTTACAATTTTTTTTCTTTTTGTAATTTATTTTTATGTTTATTTAAAGTATTATTCGTTTGTAATTTTATTTTAAATATTTTGGTTTTTTCATGTATAGAGAAAGTGTTTTTCCTTAAAAAAAATTGTTTTATTTTTCTTTTAATATTATCGGTACAAAAAGTATTTTTTCGACTTCTAATCATTTTATAGTAGGACGAGGAGGGTATTTAAATTAAATATATTATATTTTTTTTTTGTGGTAAAGTATGAAAAATTAAAGCTTCATACTATTTTATTTACAAATTAAAATTTACTAAATATATTTATAACAAATTATATAATTTAAAATATTGTATTTTTTTTAAGAAAAATTTTTATAACTACCTAAAAAAGAAAACAATATATTTTCTATCATATATTACTCGTATATTATATAAATTTTTACTTTAAAAAAATTTTTTTTTACTAAAAATAAGAAAATTAAAATTTTTATTTGAATATATTTTCTAACTATCTACTTCTTCTAATTTTAATGTAATGTATGTTTTTTTTGTCTTTTTTGTTTCTTAATTTCTTAAATGTATACAAATTTTTGCAAGAAATCTCGTTTCCCTTTATACTTGGGAGATGTGAATATTATATGTATTTTTAAATTAACTATAATTTTGTTGTAATTCTATATTTATATAAAATATTATTTTATTTAAACTACTGATTTATTATGTACTATATAACAAAAAACAAAGAAAAACAAAAAAGACAAACGCAATTTAATTAAGGATGAAAAACATTATGTGTTTGACAAAACTCTTATTGATTATATACACATACTTATATATATACAAAATTTTTATTTGACAAAAATGGCAGTCCGATAATTTTTATTATAAAATTACTAACTAATCAAAAATAATAATTTACATGTACATAATATAGGTTTAATATTTGAGCATTTTAAGAGAATTTAAAATATAAAAGATTGTGCTGTAAGAAACGTTGTTTGTTTTAAAAGTTGAAATATTTTTAGTAGTTTTGAATTGTTTTAGTATATCCAATTTATCTTTTCAATTAAACTGAATTTTTTGTTAACTAATAACAAGTAATATCTTACTTATTTTCAACTCAACCACAGTGATACTTTTCATTCTGTTTACTAACTATATTTAATTTTTGTGTTTGATTTAATTAATTTAATAAAGAGAATTTTGAGGAGGAGGTGGAAGAAAAAAAAATTTAATATTTTTTAAAATAAATTAAATATGGAATTTCTAGACTCAATTAATAGACTCAAACAAACCTATTTGGATGTATATTTTTTGCAACAATTTTAATATAGAAAATTAAAAGGATACCTACATTACATGTAAATGTATAAATTGATTATTTTGCCATTGAACAACATTAAGTTTTTCATTTACAAGCACTAGAATAAAAAATTAGAATTAAAAGTAATTTTTGCTATACAATTGAATTTTTTAACATTTCGAGTTTTTAATTTTTTTTGCCGCTTTTTATTTTTGTTTTTACATTTTCTTCTCCAAATACAAATAAATATTTTCTATTAAGTCTATTTTAAAAAAAAAATTTACCGGCAATTTTATTTTTTTTGTTTACGTCAACCGAGATTAAATTATTTTTTTTTTTTGCTTGAAATTTTATTTTGTAATTGATTAACATTATAAAAAATCAAAATTTTTCTTATCTATTTTAAATATGTATTATGTATATTGTTCTTGATAAATTTTTTTAATATAAATTTATTCATCATTTTTTTTATTTTTTTTTGAAAACTATTCCGCCATTTACATTGTATGTACGAGTATATATTTCCGTTTAAACGATAATTGTTAATAATCGTGAAAGTATCAATTAACTTGACGTACAATTGTATGGATCTTCGGTTCGGAAATTTGGATGATCTTCATATGGTCTAACACCAGCACGTTTCTTTTCATCTCGAATTTTTTCGACTTCACGCATTACACGTAAAAAGTTTTCACCAGCTAATTTTTTCAGTTCTTCTACTGACCAACCTTCACCAAGTAGTTCAGCAAATAATGTTGGATAAGTTGAGACATCTTCCAAACCTTTTGGTGTACTAAAAATTTATAATATATAGAAATTAGAATTAAAAAAATTTATGTGAATGATATATTAAAATAAATTACAGTAATAAGAGCAATTTTGCAAATGAATTCAAAATCTCTTTTAGGGAATCTTGTTTTAGGGAATATTCAACAAATATGTCTGTATATTGATAATTTAGGGATATATAAGAATTAAAGAATTATAAAACTAAAGTATTAATTTTTTCTTGAGATTTAGTGTTAAGTCCTAATAATTTTTGACGCAGAAAAGGATCATGAAGAATAATAAAATTTAAAAAAAAAATTCATTCGGAAATAAGATTTTGATAAAAATTTATTGTCATTTTTTGAGCCAGCTGGTAAATTTATAACAAAAACTATTAAAATTGCGAACATTTCCGAATAAATTTTTTAACATGAACATAATGTGAAAATGTTCATTGTTCTTTTATTTTATTCAGTAAGCATTAAAATTTTGCATTTAAGATTTGTTTTAGTTTCTATGAATTTTATTTGTTCAATTTTGTAGAAAATTCAAAAAAAATGGAAAGAAAATGTCAAAAAGTCCTGCAAACTTCTTCAACTATGGGGTTTAACTTGAAAATTCTTTTCTTGTCTTTCCCCCTATAAATACTTGCATTGCATTGTGTTTTCTTTTTTTATCTACTTGTTTATTTTGTGAAATTAACTACGGAAATGTGGTGAATTATTTAGCACAGAATTAAAAAAGAAAAATTAAAAAGAAAATTCAGGAAAATTAAAGAATAACAAAAAAAAAAAAAGAGAGAAAAGATTTTTTAAAAAGGATAAGTGGTTAAATGAATTAACAAAAAGCTTTTAATAATACAAGAAATTATTTTAAAAAGGTATATATATATATATATAGTTTATTTTCATAATAGAACGAGAACAAGAATAGCTCATTTTCGTGAATAATCCAAGTATTTACTCTACAGGGTCTTTTATAATTATATAAGAGTAACACAGTTTTTTTGAGTTATACAATAATTAATTATAATTGCGTTTTTTCCATATTACTTGATTCTTTTATTTTAATGTCGAGGTGTATACATTGTTGTTATTATTTCTTTTTTAATTAAACAATTAAAATGTTGGTATTAAATAATTGTTTAAATAATTGTATGTAGTATATAATAAAAAGGTATGGGGTAAAAATATGGGTATTTAACTATTGAAATGGTGATTGTATACTCGTATTGTAAACAATAACTTTATATTTAATTTTCTGGCCATAATATATAAATACATTTATGTGTATTAATTTCCTTTCGGAAATAAAAATAATGTTGTCAGAGTTGTTCAAGATATTACTTGGACAATTAAATTATATATTTTTATTGAAAAATTAGGTTTGAATATAAAAATTTATTAACTATGCGCATTTAATATAAAATGTTTTTCAATCCCAATTTATACATTTTAATTTAAATGTATAATTATTACGGAAATTTTAAGTAATCGGAACTTATGGTACATATAATTGGTTATATACTCGTATTTTATAATAAATTATGAAAAAATTAATTAATGTCCTCTTTTTTTATTCAATTTGTAATAAATTTAAATAAATTAATTGTAATAAATTTAAGCGGTTGCTTAAATGAGTACTATAAGAGAGTTAATGAATACGAGTACTATAAGAGAAAATAATAGAAAATGTAACTATTTTTACAATATAATTAAAAAATTATGTAAATAAGTTGGATTGAATTATTAGATTTTAAGAGTGGTTTAAATAAATCGATATTTGACATATTATTCGATTTTGGGTTTTAAAGTTATCATACAGAGAAATTTATTCGCAGTTTGTCGTAAATTAATTTTATTTAATTGATTAAGATTCAATAAAGATAGTTTTTTGGAAAATTAAGTGTATTAAATAATCTTCTATGGATATTAAATGATCTTCTGTTACATTGTCAAGGCCTGAACTTACTTAATTTTTTAAAAAATTTTATTAAAATATTAATTATGTATAGTGTCAAATGTTCGTATGGTTTTGTTATTCAGTGATATTATGTGTTAGTGTTATTATGTAAAACATAATGATCCAAATGAATAGAAAGCTAGATTGCCCTTATTATTTATTGCTTGCCTTACATCATTTTATTATCCTACTTCGAAAATATCGTAGAGAATCGGACAACCTGTATATTATGCGCTTATATTTTAAAATCTAAAAACTAGTCCTGAAAGTATTCATTATAGAATAAAGAACAATTTGTGAAATTTTTTTTTTGTTAGAAAACCACAAATTTGTTATCCAAATTCTTGTAGGTTCGTTTGTATATTATATATGTTTGTATATAAAGTTCATAACTGTTAAATTTATTGTTATAAAAATAATTTAAAAATAAAAATAAATATTAAATAAGTTAAAATATTTTTTGTGTACTCCATGCACATATTTTCATTAACAAATATGTATTTATATATAATATATTTAAAATAAAGGATAATGGCTATACTAAAAAAAAACAGGACTTCTATAAAACAAAAAATTCTATCGAGAAATTTCACTAACAATTTTTGAATTTTAGCAAATTTATCGGTCAATAGGAATAAAATTCTTTAACATTAGATGTAGTTAAAGCTCTCGATATTAAAAATTTTCAAATTTAAAATTTAACTAAAATTAATTAGTTTAAGAAATAAGAAATATTATATTTCATAAAGAATTTTTTTTATTTCTGTGTCAGAATTTGAATCGAGTTGTGTTACTGATATATACTAACTATTAAACCTCTCAATATGTTATAAAAATTTATAATATAAAATGTTTTTAACTCAGAGATCATTTTAAACGATGAACCGTTGAGTATAGTTTAAAAAAACCTCAAAATACTAAAAAAGTTGTTGAACTTTTTGTTTTAAATGTGTAGGTTTTAGAGTTTTAGACCCAAGGGTATACAAAAAAGAGCAGAATTGAAGACAAAATAAAAAAAAAATAATAAAACAATACAAAAGATAAGAAAATTGGTGTTACGTGTACATAATGGAAAATTTTTGACTTCTATCGAATTTTCTTTTTTTGCTGAAAACATTAATAAAGTTCTGTTTATAATCATTTTCTCAAATTTCATTGGTTTCCTTTTATTGGTTTTATGAATAAATACAAATAAATCTTTTGAATTGATAAAAAAAAAAATTAAAGAAAAACCCAAATTTAAAATGAAGAGAAGATGGTAAAAAAAAGGCACAAACCAAAGAAAAAATGGGAATAAGAAATCAAAATAAAATAAATGAAACTCAAATATAGAATGTGTAAACTTTCATCAACTTAATGACCTGAAACAAATTTTTCATATTTTTCTATATTGTATGACAATAATAGGAAAATGAAATATAAATTTTGTAAAATTAGATGTGTATGCAGTTATACTAATACAAAAGGCAGACGGAGGAAGAATAGTGATAATATTTAAGAGATCTACTTATACATCATAAATATTGATCTCATGGGCGCTTGCAAGCATCAGATCATTTCTCACAGAAATTGAATGAAGTTGAAGCTCTTGCTGAAAAAAAGTTTTAAGCAGTAGTTTTAAAATTTTCACTAAGTACAATGTTTTTTTCGAAATTCTTGAATTAATTTGGTTTTGAAATTACAATATTTATGGAAAGCATATGCAATTTTTTTTCAAAAACACAGCAAGGAATAATTTTAAAACCATTTTTTTTGAAAATAAAAAAACAACGGTTAAAATATTAACCGAAATATCCAATGAAATTGTGTTACATAAAATTGTAACACAATTGAAGGAAAACAGAGAACCTTTCATTAATCTTAAAGGTATACAATTTGAAATAATTGAACTTGGGGTCTTGTAAAAATAATTTTAAATACAAATGGGTACCTTGAGAAAAAAATTATTAGAAACAAAAAAAAAATCACCAGATCACAGGTCTTTTGCTGTCTTCAAGGTAGAATTGCCTACTAGATTTTGTAAATAATTAAAATTCTTGTGATATATGTACGTACATAGCTCAGAAAATTCGTTTTTTGATATACACCGTTGTTCACACCAAACGGGTGAACAATTTATATACAAGAATTTTAATTTCCATTAGCTTGTACAAAAAGGAATAAAATTGATTTCAATTTCTGAATGTGTCCCTTTAAATTTTACAAATGGAACAATAATTGTGGTGTGTCTTTGTTTTCTTTTCATTATATTTTTTTTAATTTTCGTCTTACACAAGAAATACAAATTTATCTATAATTCTAGACTAAATAATCATTTGTTTTACATAATTTATTTTTTTTTTTGAAATGAAATTTATTTATTTTTTTACCCACTATTGTTTTTTTTTAGCAAAATTTAAATTATACGTTTACCATAGAATTTATGAGCCTTGTTTTATTTTCTTGGTTACTAAAGATTTTTGAGGGTGATTATTGTTTGTTTTTCCTTATTACTATTATTATTATTTTTTGTTTAATATTATAATTCAGAAAATATATTTGATTAACAATTTTTAGGAAATTTACATCATTAACTATTCTTTATTTTATAAAAATCTCAAAATTATAGAAAACATTAAGTGAAAAAACAGCAAAAATGAAAAAGGTTAAAATTTTTATTCCATTCATAACTTTAAAAAAAAAAAAAAAATTGACCAGACCACAAAATGTTACAAAAATTTATTTTCATATCCTTTTCTTGAAAATTTTATAAATCATAATGAAATCTTCTGTTCCTCTGCGTTATATACCTACATACATATTTACATAATTTTTATAAATTTATTACTTAACTATAAAATAATATTTCTTATCGGATGGCATGTAGAATGTCTGGTTATGCCGCAGAATTAAAATGATTTTTATAAAAATCTAGAGAAGAAATAAAATTCGTGTTTAAAGTTAAAAAACCTTTTTTGAAAAATTGAGGATAGGTTGAGATGGCTTGGTCAATTCTAGCGTAGCCACAAGAAGAATTTTGTTTTTAATAAATTGTTTATGTTCTATTTAAAATTCTAAATGTAT